CCAAACAGAGAAAGTTTTGGGCTGTGTATAATTTCAAAGATGCACTAATGTGATTTTTTATTTTCTGAAGTCAGTTACACTCATGACTGTTGAGAAGTGGACACAGACAAAGTGAGGAGAGGGGAAATAATCTGTGTGGCCGGTCATAAAGGTGCTTGTAAACATCCTAAACCAATTATGAGCATTAGTCAGATTATACTGCATTATGGCCGAGCCGTTTCAGGCTTTATCCTCACACAATTTACTGCTAAATAGGATGTGTTCACTTACCATTTAAAAATATGCCACTGACTGAGTTGAGTTTGCCTTACCTATTGTAAACATGTGGGGAATTACTACAAGTCAAAGTAGGCTTCTTGTGTGTTACATGACATGTCATTTTATCCAGAGCAACTTCCAATTAGTGCTTTCAACATCTATGAAGGGCCATTAGAGTTCAGCATTTTGCCCAAGGACACTTGGCATGGGCTGGGATTTGAGCCGCCGACCTACTGGCTGAAGGACAACCACTCTACCCCTCAGTCACAGCCTGTTTTAGTCCTCAATATCTGTAAATAGCTATTGATACTTAAAACCCATTTCTGATTTATCAGAGCTTTTTTCAATTAAGAATCATTGGATCTTCATAATTTTTTATTTATTTATTGACCACCTCACTTTGACAAAACATGCCACACTGATGTCAGAGTTGGGACTGGCTGTTTGGCTGGCAATCGGCTCTTGTGCAAAGTTCTAAAGTCACTTTCCATAGATTCTTGTGTAAAAAAGGCGGAGGCCGCTCAGAAAACATAGTAGAGCGTGTGATACTACAAGCCCCTGGGCGACATGAATATATGCATTTAGGTCAGTAGCTGTGTTTTCACCGTCATTTCCAGTGCAAGCTGTGCAAATCATTGTGTGCAGTTTCTATACTTCATTACAAAGCAAGTATTTGAGACAGTGGGATATGGGAATCTTGCAGCATATATTTTTGCAAGTGCTGGGTAAAAGTTGCACTAGAAACGAATACCCACACACTGCTTTTTGTTCCAAGTTATTTATTATCTAATTTTACATTGCAATTCAAATGTTTCAACTGAGGCTGACCATCTGCGGTCGAAATGTCATGTCTACGTGTCTATGTAGACTGTAAACAAACAAAACAGGGAGGAAAACAGCAGTGCACATATATTCTTCAAATTGAGAGAATATATGAATAGAATTTCTGCACTAACCATTTTGGGGAGTCTCTGCGTACCACCAGCTCCTGGTAAAAGACCCAGCATGACCTCAGGAGTACCAAGAACTGTTTTCTTGCTCTTTGTTGCAATTCTGTACTGGCAGGCAATGGCAAACTGAAATAAAAAATTGACCCCATTAGATAAGACATTATGATCAATTGTCCTCGTCAAATATTTCCAATATTGTAAGATGTAGCTGGTAGCCAAAAAGTTCTTGTTTACCTCTAAGCCGCCGCCTAAGCAAGAACCATTGATGGCAGCAACAATGGGCTTTGGAGATTTTTCAACCCGCTCGAACATCTTCTGCCCTTCCTGAGAAAGTTTGGTGACCTCTTCTGCATCATTGCAGGCCTGAATCATACTGTAGCAGAGGTAGAGCGTGTGAAAAGGAATCCAGAAAATGAAAGACGTGACAAACCTAAACTGGAGATCTTAATGTTAATGGTGCAAAAGACTATAATTTTGTTTCAGAAAATGACTTGAGTTGATATGAGGAGATTTGTCTCACTTAATATCTGCTCCTGCGATGAAGCATCCTGGCTTTGAGGAGATGAGGACAGCACTCTGAACAGCATTGTTGGCCCACACTTCATCCATTACTTCCGCCATCTCCTTTTGCATCTGGACTGACAGGGTGTTGACCTAGACAGAGAGGTGACCATTAGGTTCACATATCCCAGCAGTAAAAACTGTCACCTTTACTTTTAAAGAGCTCACACCTTTGAGCTTGGGTCGTTGATCCGTACAACAGCAACATCGTCCTTGACTTCATAGTTCACGTGAGTACGGGCTAAAAATAGAGGAGAGATAATGTGGAGTGAGAGAAAGAATTGTGTCACTGAACAGGGTGACCACTTTTTTAAATATTTAATATATAAATATGTATAGATTTTTGGAATTACCAAGCATGGCAGGAGCTACAGAGAAGGTGCGGAAGTTATTGCCTGTAGATAAAGAAAAATCCAGAGTGAAAAAACATGATTAAACATATATAATTAACAAGTCTTATAATAGCCTGTTTTTAATGTAAAGACTTTTATTTTATTCTTGTTTTAAGTGTGGGCTTCAGGATACTAGCAGTTTTACTAAAGTTGAATATATATATATCGATATATTGCTTATGCATTGTGTAAACACAGTATGGAAGTATAACACATAATTGATCTACATCAGATTTGTAAAATGTTTATCAAGAGATTGAGATTAATTGTAAGTGCTGATGCCATTTTAGGCCATAAGGTGCAGACTTGTTTTATAAGACACACGACCTGTAGCACATTTCCAAACTGATCCCCACCTTTTCCAACATATCACACATGAGGCCCTAACAACTGCACCCAGACAGGACGTCCTCTCACAACACGCATGTGAGACGCTCACATAAAGTAACCGTGACCTCGAACGATCTCAGCCATGCTATGCAACCCAGTGGAACATGACCCTTCACCCAGATTCTCCGCAGACAGAAAGTTGCCATCACAGAGGCTAATGAATGACACAAGTCTCCCCCCACCTTGCTCACACCGCCACATCACTGTTTAAACGACACTTACACCCGAGAGGAGATCACAACAGTCTGATTTAAAACTTTCATTTCGAGTCTCCTCTTCACTGACTGAACTTACGAATTTCCGCAGCGACCAGCGGAGTTAGCCAGCTAGCTAGCATATGTAGCACGTTTACACTTAAGTTTGCTCACTTGAAACACAGAGTTCCACATTCACTTTGCAGCTGAAACTTTCACTGGGGTGTGTGTATATGTTGAGGGGGGAAAAAGAACAGTGTTTTACGAAGCACTACCACGCATTGCTGTGCAACATTCCCCCGAAGCTAACAGCTACTCCAACAAGCTAATTATCAACCACGGCGTGTAGCCCAGCCAGGACTTCCAGTGTCCTCCTACCCGCGGGTTATCTTTATCTTTGAGGCAGCTCGTACCTGTGAGGAGGGCGTATCTCCTCGATGTGAATCCGGAGAGAACACCAAGGGCTCGGGTACCAGCCATCTTGGGAGAGGAGGTCAGTCAGCAGTCGGTGGATATGAAGCTAGCGGGCTAGCTCGCTGTCAGTGTGCTGTCAGGAGACTGGGGAGTCCGAGCTACGTCCCACAAACCGGAACTATCGGAACAGATGCTGATTGGCGCTCATCATAAATACCCGCACGCCATTGGCTGAGTCTGTCGACGTCACGGCTCATTGGGCGTTCAGGGACAGTAAAATGCTTCTAAATTCCAACACTTCCTCAACATGACACACGATGAACAATCCTCGTTTTGTTTTAAGTCGAATGTGTCATTTAAATAAAATATAATAATGCCATTAAAAACTGGTTTTCATGTTGATTTTAAATCTGTTTAAATGTACAGTAAAAAATAATCACTGGACTGGATGAAAGCAATAGCAGCATGCTACCACAAGGCGGAGGTCGAAATCAAACTTTAACCTTAGAATAAAAAATAAAATAATAAAGTAAGTGCATCAGGTTCCATTCAACTTTATTTTATTTGACTTTGCATTGAGTTATTAATCAAGCTTTGGAACGAATGAGGCAGATACAGGTCAAATACATCAAGAATTGTTTTATATATTTATGTAATTATATGGATTGTATTTCTTTTTTTAGCACTTTGACTTATTAAGTTTTAATTAAGTTGTACTCATTCAATGCAGAAAGAAATAATTTTACTAAAGTAAAAGTAACAACATATAGTCAGCAATGAAGCAATAATAATGTAACTAGTAATAATAATAATTATATAATAGTGTTTCTATTAAAAAGTAAATCTTAAATGTTTATTGTATTTTACATCTTGTATTCATATTTTTTGTGTGTCATTGTACCTCTTTAAATGCAACAACTACTGCAGCTTTTCAACACTTGTCTCTCGTACATAATTTGTCATCTCTTGTATTTAGTCTCTTTTTTATGTTTATTCTTTGTTCTATTACATTTTAGTACTTAACTTTGTATTCCTACTTTATGGTGTATCATTTGTTTAGGGAGTTTTTATTGCTTATTATGTTTATAACATTCTTTTTTGAGCTATTTATTTATAACTATTTTATTGCTACCTCTCTCTGTGTGCAATGCAAGTATTACCCTTATCATTATTTTATTTAGTATTTTTTTATATCTCTAGTCTTGTATTTTAAGTTTTACTCTTGCACAGTTTTTCGCCTTTTTAAAATACATTTACATCTGCTGTACCATATTTTTTACAGGTAATGCACAACTTTGCATAACTTCAGTTATTTATCTTTAAATCTATATTCATATTTGGCTTAAATACTCAATCACCTTATAATTAAATATTATTATGTATTAATTATAACTTAATATTATACACACACTTCTTTACTGTGACATATTTGTATCTATCAGACTATCTATCTATCAGACTATCTATCTATCTATCTACCTATCGACATGTTTAAGCATTAAGGATTTTTATCTTCTTATACTCATCCCTGCAGCTGATCAAATCTGCAGAGAGTATTCCATCAAATATCAAAAGCACATTTGTCAGAAGTTTTTACTTTTTTACTGAAATGTTGTAAATTGAACCATCTATCTGTCTCATTGTTATTCTTAAAGATCAACTTGAGCCAATTCAACAAATCAAAAAATATATGTATATTCCTCATCACGTCCACTTCTCTAATCTGGATTTTTAAAGTATCATATAATTTATTTAATGTAAAAAAAAAATTAATTCCACTGACTTTTGCCACGATGTTTGACACGAGGGCGGGATCATGTAGCGCCGACACAGAAAACATCCAATCAGAGGCGAGATTCTCACGTAGCAACACCAATCAGCGAAGAGGGACTGGCCGGTTGCGAGGGTAGTGTTAGTGTTGATGTGCAGGAGCAAGTGTTTCCTTCAGGCTCTGCTGGCTGCTGGGTTTGTCAACACTGACCTGGTCCCCGGCTCCCGACTCCCACCAACTCCCACCGGTTTGTTTCAGCTTCCGCATGTCGGCAGGTGCAAACTAGCCTGCGAGCTGGATCCCAGCCGTGCGTGAAAGGCATCTCTGAAAGCGGCAACATTAGCGATGCCATCCCCGATGGAGGGATCCTCCAGAGAAGGTGACCTGTTCACTGTGAAACACGAGCTGAAACACGGTGAGTTCCACTCTCGTCTCGCACATTTGGCTTTTTTTTAAGGCTTTCGGAGACACGTGTCAGGGGAGGGTCAGGGTGCTGGTGGTGCTGGTGCTGGTGGAGGGTGGGTGTGGGGTGTTAGCTTGCTAATAGCTCGGAGCAGCAAACTGTCACAGTCGATGAGAGCCAACATTAACGCTGCTCGAGTCCAGAAATGGCAGAGGGAGGCTAACGTGTCCTCATTCCTTGTAACGTTACTGCTAACTCACGCAAACTAACGTTAGCTAACCCGTCAAGCCCCCGACGTTAGCTGGCTGCCACTTGATAGCCCCGTCATCGACCCCGGGTGATAACATTGGCTTTAAAACCCGGTAGTTAACGTGTAAACCAGGTGAAATCGAACCACCGACTAAGTTCGTATCTACCACGAGTTTCCTGTCATCGCCCCCGGGCGTGTTAGCTTGTTGGCTAACCGAGGGGCGCACACTTCAGCTGTCACCGAAGCTAACGTTAGCTTGGCTGCACTTGACACCTCAACTAATGCTTCGTGTAGTAAAGCTTCACGTTTCTATGGGTTCTCGGTTGTTATCTTGTCCACTACACTATTTAATCATCGTCCGTGTGAGGCTGGTGGTTGTTCTGCTGACATCAGATCACTGAAGGATGCACAAGAGGGGGACGTGGTTGTGGACATGAACCACCACCCCCTCAGAACGTGACTTTAAAAGGAAGACACAGGAAATATGCTTCTAGCTGCTGTTGCCATTCACAATTTAGCTCTTAGTGATGGTTATGATGATAATAATAATACATTTTGTTTATACAGCACCTTTCACACAGAACATGCAGCTCAAAGTGCTTTACAGTGAAATCAAAGACATGAGAGAAAACAGATCAGTAAGAACAGGTCAGCAATAAAACAAAGACTCAGGACAAAAGCTCAAAACTAGCAAAAGGTATAAAAGAAAAAAAGAAGTAGCTGGCTGATGTGCAGTGGGAACCTTTGGTGCATAGCAACAGGAAGCTGCTTCCCCAAAACTTTTTCTAGTTCAGTTTTGTGATATTTAGCACCTTAGGGAACGGTTTGGAACTTACTCCGATAAACAATCAGAAATGTACGAGCGTGCTGCACCGTTAGGAGACTTAAAATCAAGTCAAATTATTTGTAAATCAATCCTCAGTGATCCTGGAAGCCAGTGTAAAGACGCAGAAACATAAGTAATGTGATCTCTTTTCCTATTTCTCGTTGAAACCCTGGCTGGTAGCTGTGCTCAGTGTAGTTGCGTGTCTACTGGTTCGATGCAGACGGCTGCTGAATGAAGTTTGCACACTGTCTCAGCTGTAACTGCTTCACAATGACACAGTGCTGCTGTTCAGGCTGCAACATGACTGTGCTGCACCCCAATTTACTGCCCTGCCCCAAATATGCAGTCTGTCTAGTTGTCACCACCACTGGACCAACTTTACTCTACTTTATACCCTTTTCAATATAGTAAAATAAGATGACAAACAAACCTACTAAGCCCATTCAGACCAGGCCAGAGCGTTCTCTCTTTATTTTTGCAGACTAGCTCAAGAAAACTGAGCAGTGTGCTTTTCTGTACTAATCCTCCTGCAAGATGTGAAGGACCTTTGTGTGCAGGATTACGCAATTATAGCAATTATTGCTATGGTTTTTCAATGCTTTAACATTAAGATGTCAATGTTTTCATTCCTGTCTGTTAGTTTGTGGGTTGGTTTGTTCATTTGTTTGTTTGTTAGAAAGATTATCCAACGACGATTTATTACAAAAGCTGGTGGAAGGATGTGGCACGAGTTGGAGAGGAACCAATTACATTTTTAAAGATTCCAGAATTTTCTTTCTGCTTTCTTTAACATTGCAAGACAGGGCATGTTTCAGAATGTTCCTTAATTTTGCTGAAAATAATTCATGGATCATGATTTAAAAATTTTTTTTAGGGGACTGATATTTATGAATGTGGAGCAGGTTCAAATAAAAATCTGTGAATCTTAAAGTCGATTCATATGGGGACTGTTGACCTGATCTTGGTGGAAGTATATACTCCTCTGAGTGCCATTCTAAGGGACATTGATATTTCCCTCCTGTAAACTGAAGAGGTTCATCTTTTCTAGCAGCAAGGCATCATCTCATTGTACACCTCTGTAAGTCTATTAATAAACATCCAAAATCCAACCTGGCCTTGACCGCTGAGCTTAACAAGATGTTATGCAACCTGAACCCCTGACCCTCAAAACTGAAGGATAGTGTTCTTGTTTTGAAAATAGAGTATGCAACTGTATTTCCCCGGCAGTGGCTGCATTTCTTCTCATGTGTAACAGGAGAAACACACAAAGATGAAATGAGGCACTTTAATGGTTCAGTAGCCTATTTCCAGAGTGTGAGACAGAATGAATGTGTTCACTACAGTGGATATGCATATCTAAGAGCATGCCATGCTCAGTCAGCTGTGACCGGAGACTGCGATCAAGAGAGACACAACAAGTAGGGGCCAGTGTGTGTGCTGATTTCTGAGATCTCTGATGAAAGATAATGACCTTTTCACAGATTAATGTTTGCATGCAGATGCTTGTGAGATTTAACTGAAAGTTAAGAGTAAGTCAGCTTTTCAGCACAAGCCTTGTTTTTTTGCTAACCTTTGTTTATAAGAAGGACGTCTAAAGATTCTCTGCATGTTCTTTGCAGTATTTTCACCACTTCAAGATACCGATCACTACCCATGTGCAGCTGTTGGCCATGCAGTCACAGATTTTCCTATCCGGTCACAGTATTTTTAAATTGCTGATCCAGATTAAAGCTCTGTTCCCCAACCTTTTTTTTTAGCCTTGCAGAGTCTGACTTTAATGTTTATAGGTCTTCCCAAAGCAGCAGGAGGGAGAGCCTCTCTGCATCAAAATACCAGAATGCATTATTAATGAGTTGGCACCAGATACAGAACACAATGTATAGAGGACTGTCAGGTGATGTAATTTGCCTTCTGGTGTCCATGGAATGTCCACAGCTGTTGGAATGAATAGTTAAAAACAGAGGATCAGCCTCAGCTCTATTTACAATTTGTCTATCTCAACATTACTTAACAGATAATGAGAATGTTTCCAAGGATTTTGTCCAGATGAGGATGATTTTATCACTTTAATGTCAGCACAATAGCTCACTGTTTAACAAAGCACCTTTTTAACCTTTTACTGTTTCAGAGCAGGAACATCTTTATACCCTGCAGCGACAACCATTTCCTCTTCTGACCTTTTACTACATAATATTTTGTAACATAACATTGTTACTGAATTGCTCTTGAGTGATTCTTATTCTCCAGAGCGTCACTCATGTTAGATGGGAGATTTATAAAGCAGCTGCAGTCACAAACACCAGAACTGTCAGTGCACTGAATATAAACATAGGTTTTCCTGTGTCCCAGATAAGCATCAGGTGGTCGATCAGTAGTAAAATACCTCATGTGGAACAGAGAGCTTTTCATGTCTAGCTACTCATTAATACTGGTTATGATATGATCTTTTTTATAGAGATGCAAAAATATACTTTAATTTTTAACCTTTTCAGAGGAAAATTAATGCAAACTGATTATATGTGATTTTGTTGTATGATGTGCATAATTAAAAGCATGGTTTTCCTATTTGTGCTTTAACCTCAGCCAACCTGACGGGCCATGTAGAGAGAGTGGGCATTGAAAACTTTGAGCTATTAAAGGTGCTGGGCACAGGAGGTGAGTAAATGACATTCATGACATTCATTTCTGTTCGAGCCTCGGCTTGTCGCTGAACTTTGCCATCTGTCTTTGTTGATTTTGAACCACCAGCATACGGCAAAGTGTTCCTGGTGCGGAAAGTGAGCGGTCATGATGCGGGGAAGCTGTATGCTATGAAGGTCTTGAAGAAGGCCACTATTGTACAAAAGGCAAAAACTGCTGAGCACACACGCACAGAGCGGCAAGTCCTGGAGCACATCCGCCAGTCTCCGTTTCTCGTCACACTTCACTACGCCTTTCAGACAGATACCAAGCTGCACCTTATTCTTGGTGAGGATATTTTTTCCCTTTATGACCCTGTGTTGTGTTTATACCAGATTTTATACCTGATCTTCGCTTAATTGAATCTACCATAAACTATCTTCCTTCCAAATAGAAGAACACTCCAACCTGTATTATTTTGGATGATACATGACATACACGGTATCTTTCATCACAGATTATGTAAATGGAGGGGAACTCTTCACACATTTGGTGCAACGGGTGCGATTTAAAGAGCAAGAAGTGGCCCTGTACAGCGGAGAGATAGTGTTGGCACTGGAACATCTACACCAGGTAATCACAAGCAAACTGTCGTGTCTTTTTTAGAATTTATAAGTTGCTGTTTATAGACCGTATCTGTCACATGTCAATAGCCTCTCTGTCGTTTTCTTGGTGTAGCTTGGGATCGTGTATCGGGACCTGAAACTTGAGAATATTCTACTGGATTCCAATGGTCATATAGTTCTCACAGACTTTGGCCTCAGTAAGGAATTTGATCAGGTACATGTGTCAAAACCTCTTAATCATTAAACCTCTCAAGAAGGAGTGCAGAAGCTAATTGATGAAAAATTCATTATGGACTTCATTATTTTTATATTCATTTATTTTATGTTATAAAACATATCCTTTAAATATTTTAACAACACTTTTCATGTGCAATGTGGTGACACGATTTTTCTATTTTCTGCCAAAATAGTTTTTATACAGTTGAAACCAGGTTGTCATGGGTTTCAATCTTGGACAGTTCTGTCATATTCCGATATCCTCTGTGTTTTGAGTTATATTTGGCCTTTGAAACGTGTTTATATTAATGCATTTATGTTTCTCTTTAAACAGGTGGAAAGGGCTTACTCTGTCTGTGGCACCATTGAATACATGGCTCCAGAGATTGTGGAGGGAGGAGAGTCTGGACATGATAAGGTAATTTATAGTTTTATGTTTAATATCATTGTGTGTCTCCTCTCTCAGTTCTCCTGAGTGAGTTTTTTCCCCTTTAGTCTGATAAGTCTAAGTCACGGGCGGTTGCTTTTCATGCATTCCAGGCGGTGGACTGGTGGAGCCTCGGCGTGCTGATGTACGAGCTCCTGACTGGAGGATCCCCCTTCACAGTTGATGGAGATGAGAACTCTCACACGGACATTGCCAAGTATGGATTCTCCCTGATCACCAACCACAGTATTCAGCAACCTCTCTCAGTTATAATCATGCTGCAGCAATGACTGTATCTGTCTCACACTTCACAGGAGAATCTCAAAGAAGGATCCTCCTTTCCCCAAAGATATGGGACCACTCGCCAAAGACCTCATCCAGAGACTCCTCATCAAAGATCCAAAGAAGAGATTAGGCTCAGGTCCGAATGGAGCAGAGAATGTAAAGAAACACCCTTTTTACCAGGTGGATCTCATTGCCTGTCTGGATTTTTTGTCTGTGTTGAGAAAAACTAATTAGCAGGGTGGGCTGTAACTACACAGCACATAATGGGGCCACTCTAAGTGAGGAGCATTAAGGAATTTGTATACACTGTGTTAATAAGGATTGGGACAAACCGCAATGTTTTTGTCTCCTTTTTTAAACTCACTTTAGAAAATTAACTGGGAGGACTTGGCAGCTAAGAAGATGCCTGCTCCATTCAAGCCAGTGATTCGGGACGAGCTGGACGTCAGCAACTTCGCAGACGAGTTCACAGAGATGGACCCCACCTACTCCCCCGCAGCGCTGCCTCAGAACTGTGACCGTATCTTCCAGGTGGGGAGTGAGGAAGAGATGTTGGAGAACCAGACTAGTTTTTGTTGTGACTCATGGTCTGGTGGTTTACAGACAGAAGCATTTCCTTTGTGCTCTCCCTCAGGTCATTGCACAGGACAACATCTATATTTGCAACTCTTTTGTGCTGATGTTTGTCTGGGCTGTGGTTGCAGGCAGAGTGAAATGTTGACATGGATGAAAAATCGCTTTATACATTATCTACTTTTTGTCTGTGACTATATTTCACATACTCAACAGCAATTGAAGTAATCAAGTGAAGTTTTGAATGTCCTCAAAAGGTTGCTGTAAGTCAACATGAGTCTGTCTGTGTGCATTGGTATTCAAATTGACTAAAGGGTCTTTTATTGAAGTAATTGCTGCCATATGCAGCTCTTATTGAAGTAACAGATGTGAATGACTATTTTTGATGTAGCTTTGAACCGTAATGTGGCCCACAACTCTGTGCCAGCTGATGGCTGTCTGATGTATTGCATGAAATTTCAACTCTGATTGCCTTCTGGATCCTTGAGCTTGGCAGATCAATAGATCCATTAACAGGCTTTTCTCGTGGAATAAAAGGTTACACTTTGAGAGCATCACCACGTCTGTCTCGGTTACGCCTTCGGTCTTTGATTGCCAACTTCATCTGCGCTTTTTTCGCTCTCAGCTGCCATTCACATAGTCTGAAATTTTGTGGTCTTTATAATTTGCAAGCCTAGCAATCTCTGAGATAACGACAGCAATCCCAATTTTAAACTGTGCACTTGCTCCCCCACAGTGCCTCACAAAACAAAATTAAAATTGCATTAAGAGCGCCAAGATGTAATTTCACAGCAGAGCAATCAAATATTCAAGCCCAGCAATTTAGGGCATCTTATTCATTCAACATCCATCCTTCCGTCCATCCATGGCTGTCACCACATACCACACAGCTGTGTGTGTGTGTCAGTGAAAAAGGGAGAGGGAGATTAATGCCAGCTCCAAACTCTGGGCGCCACACAGCTGGAATTATGCAGGCAGCACTTCATAATGACAGGTCTAACAATGGGAACAGCTGGACAGCGGCTGTCACTCACAAATGAACTGAATATGGCTTATTGTGGAGCTGACAGGCTGGTGTGACACAGAAGCATTTGGAGAGAAATGAACAATAATTTCAAGTTCCACAGTAAACGTGGAAATATGTAAATCACATGAGGTGTCTATAAATCTGTGTAATGTTTAAATGCTGCAGTCTTTTCTTTATTAAATCAATAGAAGTTTCCTTTTCCTTAGCTCGAATAGTCCAATCCTCATTTTATAGTATGTCCTAGTAAAACGTAAACATGAAGAGTTTATGTTTCTGTCTGTGCAGGGCTACTCTTTCATGGCCCCTTCCATCCTGTTCAAGAGGAATGTGGTGATGGACGACCCTGTCCAGCTGTGTGGGGGCTCTGAGAGGCCGGGCTCTGCTGCGGTGGCCCGCAGCTCCATGATGAAGGTAAGATAAATGGACTTGGATCCACCAGCACAAACACACTTAAGCTAATGGCTGCTGTCACAGACAGATTCGTTTTTTTGTTGCTTCCTCTCCTTTTCCATTAGAATTTGTTTCTACTGTATTTGTCTGTTTATTCACTGGATGCAGTCATGCACTGTATCTGTGCAACATAATGTTTTGAGAAGGCAGCAGTGCATCACTTTTTTTTGCGAAATCCAATTAAACAAAATCCGCTTGTGAACATGTCCATAGTGTATTTATATCCTTACAAAAATGTCAATCTATTCAACTGATAACAAAAAGTATTGAACCTTTCACTGTTATAACCTATTAGATATTTATTTGTTTTATGTCTTTCGTAATGAGCTTTTTATTTTATTAATATATATTTATTCTGTAAATTCACATTCTATTTCTTTCATTTTAATATTAATAAATAATAAAGACTTAATTATCAACTTTAGTACTTCATTTTTCCTACAACAAAGCTTTCCTGCCAAAGTTTTTCGCATGCTTACATTTTCATAGCCAATGTGATAAACATCTTGAATCTTGAGTTGCTCAGAATTCCACAAAAGCTTCAGCTCCCTCTGCTTAATTGCCTCTTATGTTGTTTCCTGTAGCAAACAGGGAGCTAGATAACAATTTCCTTATCTTGTCCTGTGGTTATTTTCAAGATCTTAATTCAGAATTGAAGAGCTTTGCAAATTTACCTCTTCCATGTTTCATTTTGGAATCAAAATTAATTATGTTAACAACATTACGCAACAAGAGACGTACTTATAAATACTTGAAATACTTAAAAATACTTGGAAAAAAGCTTTTTATCATCATAAATCAGCAAAACGTTTGTCATTATAATGATAATAGATGGGAAAAATCACAACAGCTTGAATACTTGGTGAAGGAAGAGTGAGGTTTTTGCTCAGATGTTTCAGGCTGTTATTTAAAAAGAAAAAGAATTCAGGACTGATGTATAATGCAGATGCTCAATAGAAGTCTCTGGATTATATTTTCAACATAAATTGTGTCTGTCTCTAGAGAAAGAAACTAGAGCATTGTAGTGAAAGAAAATTGTCTTCAGGACATGACCTCTATTTTATAAGTGGTTATTCTGCCATGAGCTGGGTCCAGTTACTAATGCAAGCAGTAAGCCCAGTACCACTGGCCTACATTCAGTTATTCTCCATAGCAGCCAGAGGTCGTAAATAGTGGATACATTTGAATTTTGAATGAATTAAATCTATACTTGTTTACAATCAATATATATATCGCACCAGAGAAAACATTTAACTTGACAGACATATTATTGAGGTCAGGGGCAGTTATTAGAAACTATGATGTCGTCTAAAATCTATATTTGACCAGAAACATCTTTTTTCATCCACACTTCCAGGACTCACCCTTCTACATGAGCTACGAGATGGACTTGAAGGACAGCGCTCTGGGAGAGGGCAGCTTCTCCATCTGCAGACGCTGCACGCACAAGAAGACGGGACAGAAATACGCAGTCAAAATTGTCAGCAAGAGGTAAAAGCTCACCGCATGATCCTTTTTGGCTCTCTGTGGTTTTTATTGTTGGACCTTTGTCAACCAACTCAAGACAGAATTTGACATGATCACAAAAGTTCTCATATTTTTAGTTGTTTAAATTTGTTGAATAAATGTAAATACTTCTCTGCTCACAAACCAGGTTGTTGGAAGTTAGTTGGTAAACTGCTAACTCTCACATCACTGCGTAAGGTTCATATTTATGTTTTATTTGTTGTGACAGTTTTTCTGGCTTTCTGCTCATGTTTGCTGCAGAATGGAAGCACAGACGCAGCGGGAAATTGCAGCCCTGAAGCTCTGCGACGGCCACCCCAACATTGTCAAGTTACATGAAATTTACCACGACCAGGTGAGGTTCATCGCAGCGCTTACGCTCGTCACCATAAATTCTGGTTTGCATGGTTCCCCGTGGAGCCTGTGGGGACTGCAGCCTTATTAGGTCCTGGAACTGGAACAAGGCAGATTAATGGGGATGCTGGAGGCCCTCGAGGTATTTCTCTATCTCTCCGTGTTTTGTCCCATAAACGTCTCTGCGTGTGCTTGATATTTCACATGAAACGTATTTCTAAACTGCAGCTGTACACACACCCATTTTGAACTACTGAATAAAAACAACCTAGATTTACTTGTGTTGCTAATCGAGCCGCACACTCACCTCAAACTAAATGTGCATATGTTCTAAATGTAGCTTTCCAGCCGTTATTGGGAAGTTGTGTGTGTCTGACTGTGCACAGGTTCATTAGCCACAGACCCTCAAGCCCACAAGCACCACTTTAATCCTGATGAGCTCAGTGGGGTTATTACAGTATCTCAGAGGCCCATGACCCAGATCAAAGCAGTGCTGCCTCGTCTCGCCTCAGCCGAGTCCCGCCTTTGTTCCTCAGACCCAGAGCTAATGAGAAACTCTACCCTGCTGCCCAGACACATTGTTCCTTTACCACTTTATTTGGCTCCTTTCACTTTTACTCAGCATCATTATGGTTTAATGTTACCATCGTGGGATTAGCAATGGACTGTTTTTACTGTTTTAATTATGCATCCTATCCACTGCATCACATTCAGGTATTTTTAACTTTACATTACATTACATATCATGTATCCTGCTTTTATCCCGAGCAGCTTACAACAAGCAACTTCCAGGTCATGCTGTGAAATAAAGATTAATCCGACATTTGTTCACACAAACTTGTAATATAAATTGTAATTAACAGGAATGTTTTGCTCGTGCTGCTTGTGGATGAACCTTGTCTGTGTTCATCTGGTTGTGGATTTTATTTCTCTTTAGCATTGCTGGGACAGCCAGAGTGTCACATTAGCATGAAAGCTGGCTATGTTGTGTTTCCTGAGCATGAAACTGTGATTGTGGTCGTTATGAATATTGTGCCAGCACCATGTGTTGGGCACATCCACCTTCGTGTGCGTCCTGCATAAAGGCTGCTTGATGAGTAATATAAATATTTTTGTGTGGGTTGTTTTTTTTTTTTTGTCCTGTAGCTCCACACGTATCTGGTTCTGGAGCTGCTCGGTGGAGGGGAGCTGTTGGAGAGGATCCGCAGAAAGCAACATTTCAGTGAAACGGAGGCCAGTCGCATCATGCGCAAACTGGTGTCCGCTGTCAGTCACATGCATGATGTAGGAGTGGTGCACAGGGACCTTAAACCGGAGGTATTTGACTCAGCAGTGCTGCTGGTAGATGGTCTTCTCTGTCTAAACACATCTAATCAGTCTGTTTGCGGTTTGTGACACACAGACAGACAGGCTCTTTTTTTTGAAAGATAATTACTGTGGTTTTCTTAACTTTTTATGATCTGCAATCTTCTGTGAAACAAAAGTACCTGGTCAGACCAGTCTTGATGTCCAATTTACTAAGCTGTCGAGTGGACCTGCTTTGCTAAGCAGAAAGAAATGATTGCTGTCTGTGTCTCGAATCACTTCGCAGAACCTGCTCTTCACAGACGAGAGTGAGAACTCCGAGATAAAAATCATAGACTTTGGCTTTGCACGCCTCAAACCACCAGACAATCAGCTCCTGAAGACTCCCTGCTTCACGCTGCAGTACGCTGCACCAGAGATACTCAAATATGACGGCTACGATGAGTCCTGCGACCTGTGGAGTCTTGGGGTCATTCTGGTGAGTGCCTGTTGTAAGACGCTCCGTCAACTGGCTCAGGTTTAACACAAAACACAGATGCTGGACCGTAGCAGAAATGTTTATTATTCAACTCAAAATTCTAAGTGGAACTATGTCTTTAAAAAACTTCTACTTTTAAAATTTCACATTCTAAACATGTAACTAGAATGACACTCAGTAGAGCGAATACCTCCACCAAGGCCCAACAGTCTCCTCAAATCCAATTAAGCTGCACCAGATTTCACACACTCATAGATGTTTGGTGAAAATCTTTCCAATGGTCAATAATCTTGATTACAAACAAAGAAACCAACAAAGAAACGGACAGAGGTGAAAACAACCTCCTTGGCAAAGGGATAAAGTAAAGATTCAGGAACATCTGTAAATGCGATTGCACAAATTATCATACTTTAGATAAGCACTTTCCTCAGTGCCCCGTGAAAGTGACCAGATTTTATTCAGAATTTTTTATAAAAAAAATCTTTTAAAAATCCACAGCTCCAAGCTCTACTTTAAAGTTGTTTTCCATAATTTTTTTCAACTGAAGCATTTCAAAAACCTTATCAATGTTTAATCATGAGCTCCACAAACTTGGTATTTTTTTCTATTTTATTCAGTTTATGGTTTGAACATTTTGATGCAGGGAGACCTGATTAAGCAATTAGCTGTTATTTTATCTGAATTCGTCGGCTTTCAGTTTGCATGTACTGGATAATCAGTTTTACACGATATTCATCTCTCTCTCTCTTGCTCAGCGCTACAACCTTCGGTATCCTGTGGTGAGCTGACACAGTTTTAACGCTCACCTCAGAACAAGCGCTCGATTGAAATCTAACTTCCCAGTAGAAGAACTGTCATCCTGATTTAACCTTTTTTCTGTGTAGAGGAAGAAAATTAAAAAAGAGAAGTAAGTGGAGAGTTGAGAGAGGTTTCTGTCGTTGGCCAGTCATCCATACTGGGCCTGCTCTCTGCAGTGCTGATTTGCACCGTCGCCCCCTTGGGGGGATATGGGAGTAGTGTGCCTCATGGAGCTTTGATGAAATGGCTGCTGACAAGCTGTGTACACAATGCCCTGGAAGCAAAGAGTGTAGAGACAGAGAGCGAGAGAGAGAGAAAAGGGCTCGACCGATCCTCTACTGCCAAAAGGGCTGTTCCTAACTACACGCCATTTTAATGAGAAATCTGAGGGCAGATGTAAGCAGGCCAAGGTGAGAGTGTCCTGTTCATTCAGCTGAGCACAGACCGCTCTTCTGTTTAGTGCTGGTTCAACCACGGTCAACAACACGCAGCATGACAATGGAAAAATGTGGACGGCCGCGGTCGGTCGCAAGCTCTTATAAAGCATGTTGTTATTTTCACAGCACATGTGTTTTTAACATTAATGCCCATTTCCCCTGGTCATTGTAGGCATCAAGATTTTGACAAAAACCAGAGCGTAACACTTTCTGTTCCACACAAACATGTTCCTGTGGTTGTAACAACAGATTGTGTGGCTTCGCTCTGTTCGCAGTACACCATGCTGTCCGGTCAGGTGCCTTTTCAGTGTCAGGAGAAGAGCCTGACCCACACCAGTGCGGAGGAGATTATGAAGAAAATCAAACAGGGGGACTTCTCTTTTGAGGGAGAGGCCTGGAGAAACGTGTCGCAGCAGGCCAAAGACCTCATACAAGGTGAGGATGGAACTGGAGACTCACTGATCCGGTGGGTTAGACTATGAAAGAATCTTTGTTTGAGAGGAAGTTTTTCTACATTTTTGTTGATTTCTCAGACAATAACCCCAATGAAAATCTGGATCCAGTGAATTTAAACGCAGTTTCACTACTGAGCCCTGGTAGAGGCACGGACTCTCCTTCTAGTTTTACATTTAAGAACGAAGTTTGGGATTGACACAACATGCTTGTCTTTTGAAATGTGTGAGTGTAGCAAACCTTTTGTTTGCTTTTGGATGACGGATTGAATCTTTGACTCACAAAGCTGCTCACAGAGGTTGAACTACCTGAAGAGGAAATCACTTCCTCTCTGCGGCTCAACACTTCACTGACCTATTAAGAGCACTAAAGGTATTTATCTGTCTCTTTCCTGTAGAGCTGCTGACGGTGGACCCAAACAAGAGGATTAAAATGTGCGGCCTCCGTTACAACGCCTGGCTCCAGGACGACAGCCAGCTGTCCTCCAACCCACTCATGACCCCGGACATTCTGGGCTCCTCCACTGCCTCCGTCCACACTTACGTCAAAGCTACCTTTAATGTAAGAAACGATATTATTAGATGTAGGTCAGGCTTTCGCAACCTTCTGGCTTCCTGTTCAGAATTTGGGTTGCACTGAGCGGTTCAGACCGTTAATGTGCTGCTGCTGCTGCTCTGGGTTGTGCATCACTTTTAAAATTCTTTAACCCTAACGATAAAATATAGAGATTATATATTATATTGTATATTACATTGTATAACATGAATCCTAGAGAGATTTATCCAGAGTAGAGCTCACAATGATTAGTTGATTGAAGGAACATTAATCTCCAATTATTCTATATAATATTCGTTGGTTCAAGCTGCAGATTTGCTTCTTTTTTTTTTCTTTGTCTTTTGTGATGCAAATTAATGAATTTATCATCAGTCGTTTAGCTTGAGACTATTGGGCAGCAAAAACAAGATAGTTGAAGACATCAGCTCAGGCTTTGGGAAACTGTAACCAGCATGTTTCATTCATTTCTGTCACTTATGGGGTAAACTGTTTAGATTCGGTAGTAAAATGCAGACAAAATGTAGAAATATTCAGTTTCAGCTGTTTTGAGTGCCACAGCCGTCTGGCCTGATGAAGTGGATCAGTGCGTCCCTTAGAAAAATGAATAATTCATAATAATCTTAATAAGTGGTTCATAATTCCGCCCTTTTCTGTCCCAGGCATTTAACAAATGTAAGCGGGAAGGATTCCGCCTGCAGACGGTGGACAAGGCTCCGCTAGCCAAGAGGAGGAAGATGAAAAAGACAAGTACCAGCACAGAGACCCGCAGCAGTTCCAGCGAGAGCACCCATTCCTCCTCCTCCTCCTCCCAGTCTCAGGAGAAGACTTTTACAGAGGGCGACACCAACCCGCAACCCCCCAACAGCACTCCTCTCACCACCCCTGTCAACACACCTGTGACCCTGGGAACAGACTCTGAGCACCAACTGGCGCCTCCAGCGTTTCACTTCTCAGAAGGACAGTGAGACAACGAGAGGAAAAAGGGAGATTCAGACAGTTTTTCGTGAACAGCAGGAAGGCTCAGACCTTCAGAGACGGCTCTCTTCTTTTTTTTCTCTGTCCCTGGCAGCTCTCTGCCTCTGGCTCAATTGCATGGACGTCTGCAAGTCTCCAAAACCAAGCATGCAGCAGGAGCAGCAATCGTCACCTCAGTATCAAATCAATCAAACCATCTCTAGCAATAGCCTGTCCCTTTCTTTCTCTTTCACCTTTACACACAGACTGTATCAATCAGGGACTGGACCAGGAAGAATATGTTACCGGTGTCCAAAATGAAAAAGGGCTGCCCTCCTGCCGCACGTCCAGACAGACAATGGGGAGACACCTTCAATCTCATCATGAAATCATTGCTCTGTCCGCTCCATTTGCCCGTGTTTGTCGACGCCTTCAGAGGTTTCAAAGGGAAAGTCGCAGTGTTTACACCATGGATGCTTTGTATTCTTTTGTCAAAGGGAAAGAAGAAATGCAACGTGCTGCAGCGTAACGTAAAGAAACGTGGGTCCACGAAGTCTCTGCAAGATGGAGCAGGGTATTTATATGTGAATTTTACAGACTGAAATTTATTTATAATAAGCTATATTGTTAACTTATTTATGGTTCAGAGTGATCTGAAAAGAAACAATGGATAAAAGAGATATTTTATGTTTGTATGTATGTTGTTTCCTGTCAGCTCAAAAGACTGTTTCCATGTAGTCAGGCGGTTGTTTAGATCTCGTTGTAGTCTGCAGACATCGATGCTTCAGACACATCTTGTTCGACAGAAAAAGCAAAAAGAGATTAACACATATTGAATTTATGTAACAGACTTTTAAAAAAATATTTATGAAGCCTGGTGAATTTTGGGGTTCAACTGCAGCTGTGTCCAGTGGTCAAAAAAAGTCAACTTCCTTACATGTAAGGATTAAAGAAGCAAAAGTCAACATGTTTTTGTAGAAACAACCAAATGTGGATGTAGTGTGTTCAGAGATAATCTGTGTTTTATTGTTGTATGGGGAATACTACTGTCTGAGAGGATGTGAATAAGAAGAGCTATATTTAGAGTTATGATGCACCGCTGCTGCTGCTGCTCTTCTACACGGTGTGATCCTTAAATCAGTATTTAGCCCAGCAGTGGATTTGCCTTGTGTTGTATAAAATTTTAATTGTCTCACTACGGCCAATTGGATTGAGAAGAACGTTACAAACGGAAAATCCAGATCAGCTTAGCGTCAGGTGAATGACGCTGAGTGTACTGAGATGCCAAAGGGTAGCTTCAAGTGGCTTCCTTTTTAAGATTGAATGAGTCAGAAACAGGAAAAGGTTTACGTGCCAAAAAATGCAATTAAATAATTTAAGTGTCAGGAGGTTAAGGTTGGTGAAGCAGTAGAATATTTTAAGTGTCACCGCCTGAAGTCTTAAAACTAATTTAAAATCACCCCTTTATGAAAGCATCCAGGTTTCTGAGGACAGACCTAAAAAAACCGGAGATCTTTGCACCGTGTGACAGCTCCCACTTCGAGGAAGATATATCTGGTTAGTTAGTCCCCGGTGCTTGATGTGAACTGAAACATCAGCCTCTTTATTTTTAAAGGAGATTCTCACTTGATGTATTGTGAGTTTGTTTACTTGCATATTTAAATATCCCTGATTTAATTCTAGACTTTGAAGTTTTACTGGTTCAAGTGTGATGGATGTAAACACCAAAACCCTGTTTTTCCAATAGCCTGAATATTGTAATGTTCCAGAACTGGTTAGATAGGAAGGTAATTAAAATGCCATGCTCTGTTAGTTATTATTATTATTATTATTTGCAAGTGTGTGTTGTACATGTCTGTATCCATGGTAGTAGTTGAAATGATGTATTCAGTTGTACAGGGGTATTCGTGATCAGTATGTGAAGTTGCCTAGAGACAGTTTCTCCTGCTCAGTTAGGATACAAATTCGTAGTCGGACGACTGGGTGCATTTAAACACACTCCCTCATCTTCTTCCATTTGAATGCACTCTGAATCTGAACCAAAGCATTAACGTCAAGGTAGCTTCTCTAAGCTGCATGGGATATTTCCTTTCACGCAAATATGCAATGAAATGCTTCATATATCGAGGTTCCTGTTTTGTTTTGTCCAGCTGGTGAAATATTTTAGATGTTTCTCGCACAGAGGATTTTATAACTTTGTTTCTTCATAGATTCTTTACAGGATCTAGTATATAGTATCCTTGTCCAGCACAGTATCATGCTTACAACTATGCATCTATTTTAGCTTTTGTGTTGCTTTAGCCATTTTAAAAACCTCAGCAAATGGGTTCAAACATAGTGCTTGAAAGGGTGTGAGGCAGATACTCTACTTTTACTCCTGCAAAATCAGCCACAGCAGAAATAGCAACGTTCGTTGTTCGTATAGAAAAAGCTGGAATTCTTGGAGCTAAACACTACAAGGCTCTCGTCTAACTTCGTACGCATGAGTTCCCCGTCGCTGCCTCATTAAGCCTCTTTTCTTTTGTTTGGGTGTATAAATAGCTCAAGTGGAGGAAGAGGAAGAGTGTCCTATATTGAGCTCCCCTCGGGGAGCCAGGCTCTATTAGCTGATGTGCTGCAGTGCAGTTTTTTTCCAAAGAAAATACCGTGCTCCACTCACTGCCTCTGTGGGACCAGGCTCACTGTCTTTGTAGGGAAAATACCAGTGTAAAACAGGAAAGGGTTAGTTTAGTACCAGAGTCTCTTGGGGCTCGTTTTCGATCTAGTGCCCTCCCTTTGATGAACAGTCGATGTTTAGCGTGTCACTCTGAGGAGAGGGGAGGGGGGGATTGGATCTGACGTCCTGTTGTCTTTGAGTTTTTGTGTCAATTCGCTGGAACTTGAATGAAAAGATCCCGATCTGCCGACAGTGCTTCCTCTTTTTTTAAAGGTTGACGGCACCACACCTCATGAGCTAAACCTTTAAACCTTTTTGCAGCAGAGTTAGAGGGATGACAGTCGGAACTGTTTTGTATTTCTACGTGTTTTAGAGTCAGAAGATCAGGCTTGGGACGTTTAGAGTCGACACATCTGTATTAGTGTGTGTTTGCTCCACAGCCAGATGTGGCGGCCAAAGCTAGAAGTGACGTGTTGTTTGTAAAACACTTGCTCATGTGGATGCAGGTATCTTTAAAAGACGTTTCAACAGATGTGGTCGGGGGCGGTCTTTAAACTCTGGTCGGCTTTCAGTTTGGGATCCTGTGGAACTGTCCATGGTGCTGAAATGGCCAAACCTTTGGTGGTGCTGCCTCATCGATCATCATCATAACAATAATAATCACAAATGATAATAATGATCCTTTAAACCAGTGAGTACCACGAGTACTTGTGGCCTTTTTGGGGTACTTGTAAAGTTTTGTTTTTTTTTTAATTTATAGCAAAGATTTCCAGCTTCTGCTCCAAGATTTAGTCAAATAAATTGAAACTTGACGAAGATTAGTTAAAGAAACAAAATACACAAAGCCTAAACATTAAAAACTTGAGGATTGCTGTGTCAATTATGAGAATAAAACAAGTGAAGCACAAAAGTTTAAGAATATATTATTATAAACTATGTGTACTGAGACAAAAACGTTAGAGACCACTGATTTAAAGGGTCAGTTTGAAAAATATAAATAAAAAAACCTGGGAGAACCTGTTTTTTTGGGGGTGAGCTGAACCTTTACATTTCTTTGTGGGGATTTTATTTGTCGTCACCCCGACCAGAGAGGTCACAGCACATGGTCAGTGTAGAACGTTACCTTTAGCAAGAACTTAAACATGTGTTCTTGAGTTAATTAGATTAACTGAGCCTGTATTGATCTGTGTAATGTTGGTGACAGTGTTACTTGAAAAACCTGCCACTTTAGGCATCATCATCATCATCATCATCATCGTCACCCCTGCTATCACCATCATTGCATGTGCTCTTGCTCGATTCCTGTCAATCGACACTGATTCACATCATTATTGAACCGTGTCAAAAAGTACTGTAGCAGTGAATGCCTTGGAGATTGGTCAATTATTAAACTGTTTTAAAAACATGCAATCAAGCTTTAAAGGGCAAAACTTTGCACTTGTATGTTATTTCAATCATTCAATTGATTTTTATTCTGTAAAAGAGAAAACTGTCAATCTTTGTTTTTGTGCAGGTTCAGACGTCTGTTTCTGTTGATAGCCGGTGTTTAACATTTCCAATACGACTTGTTCTAATACAAAGTTAGTACTTTTACCTACTGCAGAGGTGAACCATGTGCTTACCTGCTTCTTTTAGGGCACTGTGAACATCATCATTCAGGTATTCAGGCACAACATTGATAATATGAGGAAAACACCTTGATTTGCTTTGATAAATGCTTTACTTATGCTGGCTGAATACATGTGTACGTTCAATAACCTGAAAACAGTCATGATGAGTCGTTTAATAGATCCTCGGCTTATTGTATTTTCAAGTGTATTTAAAACATTACTGAAGATATTTGTGATACCAGGATTTTTGTGTATGAGTTGTCAGAAGGACAATAAATGTACGATTTCCTGCTCATTTGTTGATCTCGACTGTTAAATGAAGTATACCAGGTATTCTTATCATTTAAAGGGTTAGCGGGCATGAAATCCTTATTTTAGCAGTCGGTCTCTAGATGGCAGTATTTAATAAAGTACCGTTTGGAGAAGTGACATTAACATCATGCAGTCTTTTATTCTTTATTTATTGATAGGTCACATAGAAGATTTTTAAAACCTTAAAGATAATTTTTCATGTGGTTAATTAGCATTACAGATTTATTTTTATGTACCAGGAGGGTGAAATAAATAATGAAATATGAATTAGATCAATTAATTTAATGTAAAGTTAACTGTAAGTTGTATAAATCCCCACTTATATTAATTTTAAGGTTGAAATAGCAACAGTGGACTTAACAAAAAGTTTCCTGTCATTAATCTGAACATTTATTTATTTTTAAAAATTGTTTAACAATTAGAAGAATTAGGAATGATCTTTATGGGTAAGATAAAAATTATACAGTTAATGAAAATTGTGTTTGCAGAGTTTTTTTATCTGTTTGGTGTCGTATCAGTGAAGAAATTCATAGTTGGAATTCTGAAGTGAGGGTGTTTGTGACCTGTAATTTCTTTCAGAAAGAAATTCTTCATACGTTGGAAAATAAAAGTAAAATGTCACTTTTATTCTTCACTGGTGCATCAGCTAATTTTGGCCACATCATCAGTTTTGGTGAATTAACACCAAGAACTTAAGAGACAATGCACTTTATGAACAATAATCAATCAATCTATTTGCGTGACCTTTAAAATATTTAAAAATTGTGAAGAATACCAATATATAATATTAAAGACCTTTATAAATAAAAAATATGGTAGATAATGTGTTCTTATAATCATTATTATTTTATCTAACAACCCAAAACAGTTCTACTCTTGTCTAATATTTAAAAATGAGACAACAAGAAGAATCTTTTGAATCTCTCTTCTGCATTTTAGCTCAAAAGACTTCTTTCCAGTTCATCCACTTAACAACAAATTGATTTATTGCTAATCATCTATAAATCTGGGATTAATTTGAACTGTTGAGCACTAACATTAAGTGACAGTAGGGGGCGCTCTTTGGCTCTTATTGGTTGGACGAGGACCACTTAGTGTTGAGCTGGAGAAGGAAGGAAACTCTGGTGCAGTTTTGTTCAGGCGGCAAAAATCAGACGAAACAAACCAAATAGATTTTTCCTGGCCTGGTCAGGTGGTCACCAGAGGGGCCGACAAAAGGTCAGAGGTCATCTGTGTGTTTCTTCAAAAACATGCTAATGCTACTTTCCTTTAAATCTAGTTTGATTTCAAGTTAATTTACAAAAAGAGGGAGTAGAATGGTTAGAATGATAAACTAATCTTTGCTCTGTCTTAGCTCTACTTTCTCCATCATCAGATCTAATATCACTTAGAAACAACTCGGTGGAGGAAGTGCGTTTCCAAGCGTACGTTGGCTTCTGCGCGGCTCTCGACACACAACACAGTCCTGCTGCACGATATCTAAAACACAAAGCTCATTTTGTTATGCATGGCTTTCAGGCCACTTATTGTGGTTTCACCCCACTTGCTACTGCACACAACAATACAGATGGTGCACTTACAGAGCACTTTCACCGGGCTAATTCTGCAGTACAGATATCAATATGGACCTTCAGCAGGAGAAACTCATTATACAGTGAGCCCTCTGTGTGTGTGTGTGTGTGTGTGTGTGTGTGTGCACGATACCTATTTTCTTTGAAATCTCTCTGCGCTAACATGAAATCCATTACTCAACATTGTGTTGTGTGCAGCGGTCAGGTATTCTGATGGAGGGTCTGCACTCTGATCCATCGCAGAGTTGTAGAAGGAGGCTGTCGGCTAATACATCAAGAAAGACAAAAATACACACACTTTAGAATCCTGTACTACAGACTTAAAAGGAAGCCTAAGATGCGGCCTGCTGCTTTTTATTATTGCGGACTATGATTCTTATTTGATTGCATAGGCAGTTTAGAAATGTACAAATACAAAAACCTGAGTAAGAATACAATCTTTCTTGTATGAGGCATAATCCAATAAACCCTTTACTGTCCTTCAAAACTCTATCAACAACCTGAGGCCATTCTACTTTTCATCTAGTTCATATAAACTTGTGTCAGCCATTTTTCCAAAAGACATCTTGTGCTAACTATTTATGTCCACGTTCACATTTTGCGCGTATCATGCTCTTGGAACTCAAAATGTGTAATTGTGACGTTAAAAAAAAAAGAAGCTTTTACACACAAATGAAAATCTGTAACAAAGCGTATTCATGTAGATTGATTGAGGCTGACGAGGTGGAGGTCACAGCTCTCTGCACCAAACTCAGAAAACTGTGGATCCCACTTCATCATTTTGTTTCCACAAAGTATTAGAGTTTGTAATTCAGATTTTTCAAGAGGTTGATAAACATTTGATGGTTCCAGGTTCTCAAACATTTCTTCTCTCCAGCTTCTCCTTGTCTTTATAGTTAATTTAATATTTTGGGATTTTGAGCTTTCGAGACGATCAAGTTTGTCCATCCTTCTTTAATTCTATTGAAAAAACCATTAATTAATCAGTTAATTACAATTATAACTGGTTAATTATTGGCTGATAAAATATTTGTTAGTTGTTACTGTAACTGTCTCTTGTGGCCATATTTGTAATTGCAGCCGTTTCCCTTGACAGACAGACAAGAGACAAGTTACCTGTTTGGGGTTCTAGTTTTCTGTTCGGTTGCTTGAAGTTCCTAGACTGGATTTAAACTGGGGACGTTCAGCCTCTTAGACCCTGTGACGAGCCACTGGTCCCGTGCAGATGTTTAGCTCAGGTCTCCTCTGGGGCCTCACTGCTGTAGATTAGGCTGAGGGTGACGTTTATTGTAAAACCAGCAGGAAGTGGATGTAATCCAGTGCAGTGTTCTCTCATGGCAACATCCAATGTGTGTGTGTTTGTGTGATCTTGTTTGTGTGCTGCACAGGGCGGGGTTTAGGCCGGACTGTAGAGGGGTGAAGTGCCTCCGATCCTTGGGAGTGGAACCCATTTCCTTTTGTTGCCCTCCAATTTTTGACTGGCCTGCCCCAGCACATGAGCATGATGAGGCTGTTTCTATTATCCAGCTTCCCAGACCCCACCTCACCCCCTCCTCCCATTCCTACAGTGTTCTGCCTGTTCCCAAAGCGATTGGCATTCCTGGGGGCCACCAGTGAAGCAGCTTTAGAGGGGAGGCCTGCTGGCTCCTGGGTGGCCTCTTGTGCAGGGGCTCCGAGGGGAGGAGACAATGTCTTATTAATTGACTGGGCGTCTTGGGCAGAGTGCAGGAATTTGCAGCGGGGGGGGGGGGGAGACGGAGAAGTGGGGATGAGGGATGAGCTGAGAGGGATGAAGGGGCTGAACGAGAGGGGAAGATTCACCGTCCGCCGATGGAGATTCATGGACCTCTGTCTCAGATTTATTCCTGTTTGATTTACATTGCTGCGAGGAGGGTGAGACTGGTGGAGACGAGAGAGAGAAGCTACTGTTGAGCTCTGGGGGACAGCCGGTGTCTCTCATGAGTTATTCAATCATTCCACAGTGTCCAAGAGATCCCAAACCTTTTGACACAGATCCGTATGATTTGTATAAAAAGCAAAACATCTAGAACACTGCATGTGAACAGTGCAGCCAAAAATAAAAAATAAGGACGTGAGGTTGTAAATTTCAGATTTTGTGAATAGAGCCTGACCAATATGGATTTTCGGGAGCCGATATATTATATCAATATCAAAATATATATTAGGGAGTAAAATATGTCCAATACCAATGCAGTGATTCCTAAGATGTAAGGAAAGTAAGTGAGGCTTGATATTTTACAATTCAACCATAAACCTTATTCTAAATAACTGAACGAAAAGAAAACACAAGAGAACTTGAATAAAGAAAACAAAACTATTATTTTACGTCAAATGTAAACATAAATGCACACATGCACAAAGAAACGTTTTTATGTCCGCGCATATCAACAAACGCTGGTACCAATACGAAGAAGTTGATAAAGATTTCATGGGAAACAAAAAGGAGAAACTGGTTGATTTTCCAAACTTCTCAACAAAGTTGATTTCTTATAAATTAAAAATAAAAAGTGTTGGCTCCATTCACTTCTTTTGAAATAGTTTCTTAAATCCATGTGCAGCATTTTGCCTCAAAATAAAACGTAAAAAGAATATGTGATGTTGTCGTATAAAAGTCGACAGGTTAAAAGATGTCAGACATCACGGTGGGCAGGCAGCCGTCCCTCCGCAGCAGACTCCTGGTTTTGTGCAAGTTTGATGGAGTGAGACAGGACAGGCAGGGGAGGGTGGGCCGGGTGTACCATCTCCCCATGTGGTCCCCCCCACCCAGGTGTCCTCACCCTAATCCTGTTACATGTGTCCCCCATTAGCACTAATGGGGCGGCCATTGTCCCCCTGTTGTGTGCTGCTGTGGCCTCGGCCCAGTCACCTTGAGTCAGTAAACTCAGCCCTGTCATGTTTGGACTGCTTCCCACACACAGGGGTCTCCATGACGATGGTGGACACCCACCCCCTGACTCCCACCTCCTCCACACACACTGACACAGAGCTGGGGCTGATGGGACGCCCGCAGGACGCTCCCATAATTCATAATTTACATCAGTGTGTCTGTGGTGTTCGATTTCTGTTCATGTGAAAAATAATTCTGTTGTTGCTTCTCTGCTCTGGAGCCAAACACATTTAAACAAACTTATAATTATGGGTGCCTTGCCAGCTGGGGGCTCCGCCCCCAGCTGGCAATGCATTGCATGGGGCGAAGCCCCATGCAATGCATTGGCACTTATATTATT